TACTCATTCACCTCCAATTTTAACATCCACTGATAACATTGACCTGAATCAATTATTTAACTGGAGGGTGAAAAATAGTGGTTTTCAATTCAAATTCCACTTCAAATAGTCATTACCACTGAAGCATTTCAACAAATGATGATGTCAACCCAGTGAGTTGACAAAATCCTTCATAAGCCATAATGCAGTTTATTTTATATTACAGTTACCAATGTATGAAGCTTTGCTTCTTATTTGTCCTCTGAAAGTTCAAGCTGTGTTATGGGTTCAATAAGATTTTGTGAGCTACTCCAAGATGCAACAACCATGTACACTTGGGATACCCAAAGTGATATCCACGATGTAACATAAATTATACTTCAGAAGAGTACTCCAGAGCCAATTGTAGCTGTAAAATGCTGGGTTAGACTCAGTCAAAATGTTTCTTTATTAGGAGACTTCTTTTTATAAGGATTTTATTTATTTGAGAGAGAGCAAGAGCGAGCAAAAGAGAAAGCATGAGCAGGCAGGAGGGGCAGAGTGAGAGGAAGAAGCAGGCTCCCCGTTGGGCAGGGAGCCTGATGCGGGACTCGATCCCAGGACCCTGGGATCATGACCTGAGCCAAAGGCAGATGCTTAACTGACCAAGACACCCAGGCACCCTAGGAGACTTTTAAATATTTTACTAATGTGCTTTGTGAAGCTAAAAAAGGAAGTAGTAGAAAGTAGCATTTTCCAAACTTGTTTGACTAGTGTTCTAGGGAATGCACTTTGGGAAATGTTGATGTGTATCATTGTCACGGGGTTAAAAAAAATGGCATTTTTCAACTAAAGACAATAAAATGAACAGCACCAGAGCTCCTGACACCCTCCCCCACCTACAACAGCAATGTTCTGGTGTTCAGATCAAAAATATTGTGGCTTGGTGTGCTCGCTGCATGCATGAGCTACTGTTGTGTGAGACACTTATGAATCACGTGCTCCTATATCCACAAGAAGGAATAGGAAATATTGTGTGTCTACTACAGGCTAGGCCCCATGCTAAATGTTTTATGTTAGCTCACATATCTCTGATAGTAATCACCAGAGGTGATGATTTTATGCCCATTTTACAGATTAGGAAAAATAGGCACAGAGTAACCTATCTAAGTTCACACAGTTGGTACATGTCAGAGCCAGAATTCAAACTCAGACATGTGTGGTTCTTTCCATTGTGCCACTTCTTGAAGCCAAGGGCCTTCTAAGCACCCTAAATGAGCTTCAATGGGAGAGGAAGATAATTCCCTCTCCTGGAAGAGTTTCCAGGATGGAGACCTGTTAAGAAACAGGGGTTGAGCCATAACCCCAAATGAGACTCCTGATATGAATCTGAACTTCAATTTAGAGGTGTTCTCCCTTGGCTTTTACTGTAAACATAAAAGTTCCTACATTTAATTTTTTTTTAATTTTTAAGTAGGCTCCACACCCAACGTGGGGCTTGAACTCATGACCCTGAGATTAAGAGTCACCTGCTCTACCAACTGAGCCAGCCAGGAGCCCCCCCACCCACTGGCCACGTTTAAATTTTTAACAGCTGATGAATAAGAGATAAATATGTAGAAGGGCTTCAATTCTTTGATCAACTTCTGATAGTAGCTTAGACTCTGAATAATATTCTCAATCACTGGGGAAAGGTTATTTTAATTTCTTTAGGGTGTATTTCATTCCTTCCCCCAGATTACACTTCTGCATTTCATCCAGAGATCAGACGGCTGACTGGACTATACTTATTGGACTAGTAAATTGATTGTTTTTACCAACTGTACTTTGGGTGAACAGCAGGATGTAGGATCAAGTAATCCTGACCTCTAGCTGGATGATCCAAAGTACACACATACACATCTCTAACATAAACGGTTCTCATTTTCTTCACAGTAACTCTGTGGACAGAAAATATAACAGAGCTTTAATAAAGAAAGCCAGAAGAGTAGAGTAGAAAAGCTATGAGTCTGGGGGCCAGACAGATCTGAGTTTGAATATCACCTCCACCTCCGGCCAGCTATGACCCTGAGAAAATTAGTTCACCTCGCTGGGCTTCAGTATCCTCATTTATGAAATGGATATAACCACATAAGTGATACACAGGGACAAAAGCAAGGCATCCCCAACCTGGAATTGCTTTCAGAATGAGATTAGGAAAAATCATGTTGTAATGGCTGTCAGGCCACCTATAGACATGACACAAACTGAGCACAATTTGTAAATATTTGAAGAAATTTGAGACCTAATCCCAAATAATGTGATTAGGGTTTGGTCTCAAGAAAGCACATCTAAAGCTTTAAGAAATAAGCCTTTTATACGAAATCAAGGATGATCAAAGCAGAATCAAAAATATGAGATATAGTCTTTAAAAAAAACTAAAAAGAGAAATGCACAGATCTATATAGTCATAAAAGGCTTTCCCTGTAAAAGGAAAGCCCCAGGGGTGCCTGGGTGGCTCAGTCGTTAAGAGTCTGCCTTCGGCTCAGGTCATGATCCCAGGGTCCTGGGATGGAGTCCCGCATTGGGCTCCCTGCTCAGCGGGAGGCCTGCTTCTCCCTCTCCCCCTCCCCCTGCTTGTGTTCCCTCTCTCGCTGTGTCTCTCTCTGTCAAACAAATAAATAAAATCTTAAAAAAAAATTTAAAAAAAAAGGAAAGCCCCAAAGTTAATCTTTTGGTGAAGCACCTCTAATACTTTGCAGGGCTGAGTTCCTAACCCATGAATATAAACATTTGGTCCATGGGCAAGCGGAGCACTAGAATGCCATGAATATCATCTTTTAATAGCCATTTCCCTTTGCTCTGGGGTCCTATGCTCACCAAGAAACTTTCTATTTATTCTATTCTATTTCTATTTGCTTTCTCACATATCATTATAACAGGCAGATGTGCTAACCAGCTAACATGAATGGCGTGGTCTGCTTGGCATTTATATTTCTCCATGTAAATTAATAAATTGGTATTCTGGTTTATACATTGGACCCTTAGGAGTTTGCTTAGTATGAATCAATCTTCCTTTGGTATAGTCACAGAATTAAAATTCTGAAGCAAGATTTTTAAAAATTGACAAAAACCTAGTACTGCTGAGTGTGTGAGGGAACAGCAGATCCTCAGCCCCAGCAACTTGTCTGGACAAGAATTTGGCAATGTGTTATCAAAATATGTATACCCTTTTATCTAAATAATCCTACTGCTAGGAATTTAACTTTAGGAGATAATCACAGAAGAAAATAAGTAAGAATGTTCATTAAAGCATTATTTATAGTAATTAAAAATTAGACATTTGGGTCATTCTTTTCAAAAGTACACTAAGTAAATCAACTATGGCCTACACGTTATGTGTAGTAGGGGCATCTAGGTAGCACAGTGGGTTAAGCGTCCAACTCTTGATTTCAGCTCAGGTCATGATCTCAGGGTCGTGGGATCAAGCCCCACGTGGGGCTCCGCGCTCAGCACAGAGTCTGCTTGAAACTCTCCCTCTCCCTCTGCCCCTTCCCACCCCACCCCTCTCTGAAATAAAAATGAAATCTTAAAAAAAATTCTTGGGGCACCTGGGTGGCTCAGTCGTTAAGTGTCTGCCTTCAGCTCAGGTCATGATCCCAGGGTCCTGGGATCGAGCCCTACATCGGGCTCCCTGCTCGGCGGGGAGTCTGCTCCTTCCTCTCCCTCTGCCCCTGCTCATGCTTTTTCGTTCACTCTCTCTTAAATAAATAAATAAAATCTTTTTTAAAAATTTAAAAACTAAATGTATTAGGCAGTAAATAAAAAGAAGGATGTGACTCTATGTACACATGGAGTGAAAATAGCACATGTAATACCTCATTTGTACAAAGTTGCATATTTTTTGGTACCACATGCAGTGTTTCCCTGATATATTCTACAGAACATTATAACCCCATGAGTTCTGCCATGGTCTATGAAATACCATGTATCATAATCATCTTCTGAATATTCACAGTGCTTTTTAACATAATGAGTACTCTTGATGCCATTGTTTTAACATTGTTTAACTTAGCATTATCCAAAGTAACCTTGTCATAGAATCCCTTTTTCACATAACACTTTTGAAAATACAAAGCAAAAATAAATAAAATATGAAGCAACGAGTTTCCAGAAAAACCTTTGGGAAACATGGGCATCAGAGAGCTGATAGATTATTCACCAGAATGTTAATAGTCAGTCTGTATATCTATCTAGCTTCCCAAAATACATACCACTTCATAAAAACAGCTACTTACAAAAGAAAAATGACAGATGTAGAAACAATAATGAATGCCATATGTTGGGGACCTACTCTGTGTCATGCTAAGGTCTTTACATATTCTAAAAATGAGGATGAAATGACATGAGGAAAAAAAATTGAGCCTGAGATCACATGACTTACCTAAGCTCACACCGGCTAGTAAGTGGCCAAGCCTCAATTTGAACCACAGGTCAGTCTGAGCCCAATAAGGAATTTCTATTCGGGGTGCCTGGGTGGCTCAATCAGTTAAGCATCTGACTCTTGATTTTGGCTCAGGTCATGATCTCAGGGTCGTGGGATTGAGCCTCTCTGTCTCCCTCTGCCCCCGCTCCCCCTTTCTCTCTCTCAAATAAATAAAATCTTTTTTTTAAAAAAAAAAGGATGTTCTTTTCAGTACATGATACTCTGTCTCTTCCACAACATACTCTTCCTTTAAGGTCCCACTTGAGCAGCCTGCCAGCCTGCCAACCGCAGGTGACACCCCTCTGGTTTCCCACATACTTCTTTTAAACCTCCACGTAAAGTAAGAAAAAGTAAGTTATCTGACACAGTACCTGAAATGTGGGAGATTTAATACAGAATTCCTTTCACGATTGTCCTCTGACTGGTTTTAATATAAAGAACTTAACCTACTTTCCTGGGCTCTTAGCTGTGTTATAAAACTTTGATGATGAAAATTAAGGCTTTACTATTAAGGAAGTATATGATATTTATATACTTGATTTGGAACAAAAGTAAGATGATGGCATGGAATACTTACTTCAAATCTCACAGAGTAAGTGTAGGTGACACTCAACTTATCTGTATGTTCTCCAGGAATTTCCATAGGGGGTCCATTACAAGTTAGGTGGTTTTCATCCGAATGCTTATAGCTAAGAAAAGGGCGGGGAGGAAGGGAAAGGAATTTTTATACCAAACCGCCACTGTAAATTGCCGATTCACGGCTATTCGGGCATATAACAATAGCAGACTGAAAAAATACTTAAAATACTTTTGTTTCTAAATGTCCCCAACACTCAAATTGCCCTGCTTTTCCGAAGCTCACTTTATGCCACTTCGCTGTAACGAAAGACCTACATTAGTGCCTGTTTTCACAAACTAACTGAAAGAAATGCAAAGAGGATTTTCACTTTTATGAAAAATCAAAAAGAGGATTCAGCATCGCTTTTGCAGGGAGCCATAATAAAGGCAGCTCGCACCCCAGCAGTGAGCGTGGCGCCACCCGGCCCCTTCCCTGGGAACCACACAGCATTTTGACATCAAGCCACCAATGCTTTAAACTGGGTCTGTGAGCATCTGTGCTTTATCTCGGTTTACTTTGTGCATCCATTAGCAAGATGTGTCTTAAGGTATCAGAAAAGCCTGAGAGAGGCGATTTGGAGGGTCTGGGAACGCTCACAAATTTTTCCATATAAGTTAATGGCAATTGCTTCCAAAAGCTTTCATAGGAACACTCTACTTTCAGATAGCAGGGGAAAACATATCACCCTAAGAACCTTCTCATGGTTCTTCTCCTGAGCCTGGCTGGCTCAGTCAGTAGAGCGTGCAACTCTTGATCTCGGAGTTGTAAGCTCAAGCCCCATGTTGGATGTAGAGATTACTTAAAAATAAAATCTCAAAAAAAAAAAGAACCTTCTCGGGCGCCTGAGTGGCTCAGGTGGTTAAGCGACTGCCTTCGGCTCAGGTCATGATCCTGGAGTCCCGGGATCGAGTCCCACATCGGGCTCCCTGCTCAGCGGGGGGTCTGCTTCTCCCTCTGACCCTCTTCCCTCTCATGCTCTCTCTCATTCTCTCTCTCAAATAAATAGATAAAATCTTTAAAAAAAAAAAAAAGAACCTTCTCTTTGGCTGTGGATAGACTTTTTAAAGTCCTTCTATTAGCAAATGGCTTTATTTCTCATCTTTCATCTCACCCCTCTCCAATATATTAAACAACCTGTCTTGTATTCTTAGCTGTAGGCTTAGAAAACCAAATAGGTTTTGAAATCATATTTATAAGCAGCCAGAGATCTGAGGGCCTACTGTGTGTAAAATGCCATGCTTAGTGATGAAAGGTAGCGAGGACAATCTATGCAAACCTTTTGTATTTGAAAAAGATGATTATAAAAAATAGAAGATGGAAAGCAAAAACTAAAGAAGTGTGAAACTAAACTTAAGGACTGATGAAGCTAACAAGTGCCTGGTCAGGAATAAAGAGACTGTAATATTACTTGAAAAATAAAAGAAGGGGCGCCTGGGTGGCTCAGATGGTTAAGCGTCTGCCTTCAGCTCAGGTCATGATCCCAGGGTCCTGGGATCGAGCCCCACATCGGGCTCCTGGCTCAGCCGGGAGTCTGCTTCTCCCTCTCCCTCTGCCTCTCCCACTGCTCATGCTCTCTCTCTCTGTATCTCTGTGTCTGAAATGAATAAATAAAATCTTAAAAAAAAAAAAAAGAAAAAGAAAAGAGGAATAAAAGGGAGAGAGAAAAATCAAAGGAGAAACAGTGGCGCTTCCCTTTCGAATTATTTACTCAACATACAAATTATCCCTTGGCTTCTGTGTAAAGGACAATATGCAATCCTTATGGGATGGTTATTTCTACATGTATATACACAATTAAACCATTCACTCACAATTGAGGGGGGTTATTGACGTGCCCCTCTTCCTATTCATTTTTGTAACCCTAGTGTCTGGCATATGATATGCCCTTACTAAGTGTTTGTAGGGTGAATTCTATTTAAAGCCAAAATATATTTTATTTTTTTTATTTTTTTTTTTAAAGATTTTATTTTATTTATTTGACAAAGAGAGACAGCGAGAGAGGGAACACAAGCAGGGGGAGAGGGAGAAGCAGGCTTCCCGCGGAGCAGGGAGCCTGATGCGGGGCTCGATCCCAGGACCCTGGGATCACGACCTGAGCCGAAGGCAGACGCTTAATGGCTGAGCCACCCAGGCGCCCCGCCAAAATATATTTTAAAACAGCTATGAATTGGGGCACCTGGGTGGCTCAGTCAATTAAATGTCTGACTCTTAATCTCGGCTCAGGTTTTGATCTCAGGGTCGTGAGTTCAAGCCCCGTGTTGGGCTCCACACTAGGAGCCTACTTCAAAAAAAATTTAAAAATAAAATAAAACAGCTATGAATTAAATGATCACTGTTAAGGCTACCAATAAAAACTTAACATCTAAAGGAAAAACATTACATTACCAAATGATAACGCATATCAAGGTTTACTGTTTAAGTATGTTTAAGTATGGCCCTTGAATCCAGCCCAGGAAATACCTGCATTTCATATGAGAGAGATCATGCAGCAAAAGGTATATTAAGATCTCCAATCAATGTAAAAGGCCTATTTTAAACCACCAGCCTTACATATGGGTTGCATAAGGCCTTCTAGGCCATTTTCAAAACTTGGGCCTTTACTCTAAGTGAGATGGGAAGTCACTGGAAGATTCTGAGCAGAGGATTGACATGAGCTGACATTTCAAAAGGAATGCTCTGCACGCTGTATTGAGAACAGACTGCTGGGAAACAAGGATGGCACCGGGAGACCGGCGAGGGTGTTGCCATCAGGCAGGTGAGATGTAATGATGTCTTGGACCAGATGATAGCGGTGGAGGTGATGAGAAGGGGTGGATCCTAAATATATTTTAAAAACAGAGTCCCATGGTCTGCCAAAGGACTGGAATAGATACAGAGTATGAGTGAAAAATGATAAAGAGGAGTCAAGGTTGCTGCCATAGTTTGGGGGCCTGAGCAACTGGAAGGATGTAGTTGCCATTTGCTGAGATAGAGAAGACAACAGGAAAAACAGGTTGGAGGAAAGATTACAAGTTCATGTTTGGTCACGTTAAATTTCAAATGCCAGGGCACCTGGGTGGCTCAGTGGGTTAAGCGTCTGACTTTTGCTCAGGTCATGATCTCAGGGTCTTGGGATCCAGCCCTGGGTGGAGAGCCCACTTCTCCCTCTCCCTCTGCCCCTCCTCCCACCATTCTTGCACTCTCTCTCTCTCTCAAATAAATAAAATCTTTTCTAAAAATTTCAAATGCCTACTAGACATCCATGTAGTCATGTCAAGTAGACAGCTAGATATACAAGTTTACAGATCTAAGAGTCGTTGTAGGATCCAATGCCATGAGACAGGATAAGATTACCAATGTGTAAGTATATATAAAGAAAAAAAAAGTTCAAAGACTCAGTCCTGGGGCCCTCCAATATGAAGATGTTGGAGAAATGAGAAGACTGATAAGCAACCAGTGAGACAGGAGAAAATCAGTAAAGTATGGTAATCCAAAAGCCAAATGAAGCAAGTAATTATAGGAAAAAGAAATGATCAACTATGGTAACCATCAGGGAAATTAGCTGGGTACAGTCCCTAATAGAAAACACAAGACTGTAGGCCTAGAATACCATTAGGCCTAACTCACTTCTTATGACCTTGAGCAGACTGCCTAATTCTAAAAAAATGATTTATAGCACAGTCCTTGTTCTCAAGGGGCCCACATAAATGACCTTTACAATGATTAGATAAAAGTTTTATTGCATGCATAAACTGTTGCTATGTGCAGTGTAGAATAAATATAAGTCTAAAAAATTATTTTCTTGGCTTTTTTACTCTGAGTCTGACAATATGAGATATAACTGTAAAGCATTGTTTGATTTTCATATAGCTGATGGGACTAGCTGCCTGGATGATCATACCCTGTATGTTTACTACCTAATGACTTCGAATATGAGCAGCCATCCCGAGTTAGACCTCACAGTCCATGCTCCTAACATTCTCTTGCCAGATATCAGAAGTGACATACACCAAAAAGCATAGGTGATTGCCCTTGACAATGATTAGTATTTCCTGGCCTCTCTTGGTAGCTATGTTTATTTCCTGTTGTTCACAAATATACTCTGATCCCTTTAAGCCTTCTTTTATTTCCTACTTGCAACACCTTGCAAAGATAAATAATCCTCAAAATTTTTAACATAGACATTAATTTTAAAAGAATATCCTTTTACTAAGATAAACCAGAGTTGGAAAATACCAGTGTTCCTCACCACTTGGGGTCTGTTTAATGAAATCTATAGGCCCTTTTACCCAGAAAAATACACATCAATACAAATGTCCAGAGTTTGATATATCAGGGACCATATTAAAAACTCCTAATTCAGTCCTCTCCTCTCACAGATGAGGAAATTCAGCCTATGACAAATCAAGTTAACCTACCCAATGGTCAAAAGCTTGGCACAATACAGTCTCTAACTCTTCTTTCCCTTTGGGAATAATCTCTGTGCCAGATGGAACCTTGGCAGAAGTCAAATGGGGCAGTAGCCTTAAAAACAATGAAGTCTGATCCATTTCTACAAACTTAGGGTTGACTTGCAAAATGGAACCAGGAGAGATGAGACTAAAATCCAAATTTCCTAATTCCTTGTTCTGTATTCAGAAAACTATACCACATGGGCCTCCTTTAATATATGCAAGTAGGTTTCAAGGGATAACTTCTTCCCTCCATCTTAGTATTTCAGGTTTTATAATATTTTGCCCATAATGGACCATGATTTTATACACTGTGTGCTATATTCCCCTCTCTATCTTAATTGAAGAGTTCTAATTTACAGCTAGGTCATCCAGGCTCTTTCTATAAATGTACAGGGATAAAGTACCTGCTAATTCTTGAGATTGCTTATTTGTTAGAGAACTCTAATTGTTAGTAGATTCTTCCTTATATTCAGCTGATACCTGCCGAATAGACTCCAGTAATAGACCTGTCCTCTGAAGAAACACAAATCTAAATCTAAGCTCTTTGTCATATGGCAGCAAGTAAAGAAGAGAGTTAGGATGCCCTCAATAAGTCTATTTCCCTTCCACATCTGTCAATTCTTCCTCACATTACACGGTATTCAAACTCTAACTATAGGTAGAAGGGAATAAATTGCCTCTTTAATTTTTCAAACTGTATGTCTAAGGTTACATCACATGTGTACCCTAAAAATGAAAATTCTAGTTGAGAACGTCTACATTCTGAATTAATTTTTAAATTAAAGGAACTAATTAAAAAGATATTCTATAATTACCTTTGGGGGTCAAGTCTAGCAGCAACCAATCTTGCAATAGCCCAATTTCTTTCACTTTCCCTGTGATACATAATAATAATATCAACGTGGTTGAAGAGGTAGAAAGTATTACTTTTGTTGAATTCAGGCTGCAAAAAGACACGGAAATTTTAAAGAAGTTTGAACTTTTCCCAGAAACTAAAAAATATAAAATCTGACCATGGAATAAAAATGGGATCCACTATATTATTGGCTATATTCCCTATGCTTTTCATCTTCATAACTTATTTTATAGCTAGCAGTTTGTACTTCTTAATCCCCTTCACCTATTTTGCCCATCCCCCCTCACCCTCCCCTCTGGCAACCACCAGTTCTTCCTCAGAACCCTCAGAAGGAACCAACGTGCCTACACCTTGAACTTGGACTTCTAGCCTCCAGAACTATGAGACAATAAATTTCTGTTGGTTTTTTTAAGATTTATTTATTTATTTCAGAGACAGAGAGAGCGAGCATGAAGGGGGGAGGGGCAGAAGGAGAGAGAGAATCTCAAGCAGACTCCCACTGATCAGGGAGCCCGACGCGGGGCTCGATCCCAGGACCCTGAGATCATGACCTGAGCCAAAGGCAGACGCTTAATCGACTGAGCCACTCAAGTGCCCCAAACTTCTGTTGTTTTAAGCTACCCATTTTGTAGTGTATTTTTAGCCAGCCCTAGCAAACAAAGGGCTTTGCAATATGAGCTTTGAAATCAGACAGCGTTTACTAGCTATCTGACCACAGACAAGTCATTTAACCTCTTTGAGCCTCAGTTTCCTCTTTTTACAAATGGGAACAACAGGGGCCCAGTTGGTACAGCATGTGACTCCTGATCTCGGGGTCATGAGTTTGAGCCCCACGTTGAGTGTAGAGATTACTTATAAAAATATCTTTTTAGGGGCGCCTGGGTGGCTCAGTCGTTAAGCGTCTGCCTTCGGCTCAGGTCATGATCCCAGGGTCCTGGGATCGAGCCCTGCATCGGGCTCCCTGCTCAGCGGGAAGCCTGCTTCTCCCTCTTCCACTCCCCCTGCTTGTGTTCCCTCTCTCGCTGTGTCTCTCTCTGTCAAATAAATAAATAAAATCTTTAAAAAAAAAAAAATCTTTTTAACTAAAAAAAAAAATGGGAACTATAATAGGATTGCTCATAGAATGGTTGAGGATTTAACAGAATAATGTATGTAAAGTATTCAGTGCAGTGCTTGGCATAGGAAGCCTTCAATAAATATTAGCTATTACATCAACCAGGCCCTTCAATCTTCAGAAAATGAATCCAAATGAACCTTGTCAATTACCATATTGATTAATCTACAACATGCAGTATGCCTAGATTAAGAATTATGGCTCCAGGGCGCCTGGGTGGCTCAGTTGTTAAGCGTCTGCCTTTGGCTCAGGTCATGATCCCAGGGTCCTGGGATCGAGTCCCACATCGGGCTCCCTGCTCGGCAGGAAGTCTGCTTCTCGCTCTCCCACTCCCCCTGCTTGTGTTCCTGCTCTCGCTATATCTCTCTCTGTCAAATAAATAAATAAAATCTTAAAAAAAAAAAAAAAGAATTATGGCTCTGCAAATCTCAGAACTGAGGGTGATGCCCTGAAGGAATTTTAGAGATCCTTTAGTACAATAATAACAGAGAAGAGGGTAAGAGTGATCCTATGGGGGAACAGCACAGTCAGCTTGGGCTGGAAAGTACGTACTACTCGCTGCAGTGCTGTCCATAATTGCAAAGGACAAGAAACCACCAAGACTGTCTATGAACACAGTTAAATGAAATATGGTGTAACCACATAGAGAAATAAAATGCAGCTAGCAGATTTTCATGTCCTAGTATGGAGTATACCATGTATTGGTATCGGATGTCCATGGTATGTACTAATAGAAGCAACCCCGCATTGTGGTTAAGGATGTGGTCTCCACAGTCAAGCTGCCCAGGTTGAAAGCTCAGGTATGGCATGTATTAGCCTGTGTGACCAGTTGCTTAGCCCCTCAGTGTCTCAGTTTCCACACCTAAAATGTAGAGATCATAAGACATAAGAGTACCTATCTTCATGGGTGCTATGAGGATTGAATCAACCCATGAAAAGCATCTCAACCAGTCTTGGGCATAAAGTACCCAATATGAGAGGTAAAGTGGTAACAAGGCCCTCAAGGATCTGGATCCTGCTTGTCTCTCCAGACTCATCTGCTGCCACAGCCCCTACTTGTAACCAGCTAAATGACTAGAGAGAATTCTTTATTCTGTGCTCTCATAGCACTCAGCTCATATGCCAGTCACTCAATGACCACATCGAATTGTAGTCAGTGTATTTCCACGTTTACATCCCCTAGTCAATTGTGTTCCCCAGTAGATTACAAGGCTAGGAACTTTGCTTCACTCATTCATTCATTCAGCAAATTTTTTTTAACATCTATTATGTGCCAAGCACTTCTTAACTATGCCCTAAGAGCTAATATCCTACAGGGGCTCAAATAATACAAGAGGTAGTTTCATATGTTACAGAGAGAACAGAATTTGGATCAAAAAACACTGGGATGCAATTCAGATTTTGCCACATATAATCTTTTGTATGTCAGTCTTTCTTGGCCTTAGTTTTCTTGAAATGGGGATACCATCACTTACTTCATAAAATTGTTAAGTGGATTGAGTGAGAAATTATAGGGAAAGAACTAGCACAGCACCTGGCACAGAATAAGGAGATCATTAAATGTTAGTTTCCTTCCTACTAGATGTCAAAATCATGCTTTAAAACTTCAACTAGATTTCCAATTCCAATCCGATTTGGGCTAAATCTCCCGCTGAAAACTACAAATGGTAAATATAACATAACAAATATCTTCATAAAAGCAACATGAACATAGAATGTACAACACCAAAAGTAAACCCTAATGTAAACTACAGGCACTGGGTGTCAATGTAGGTTCATCAATTGTATAAAATGTACCACTCTGGAGTGCCTGGCTGGCTCAGTTGGTAGAGCATGCAAATCTTGATCTCGGCGTATATTCAAGCCCTAGGTTGGGTGCAAAGATAACTTAAAAATAAAATCTTTTTACAGAACTAGAGGGTATTATGCTAAGCGAAATAAGCCAATCAGAGAAAGGCAAGTATCATATGATCTCACTGATATGAGGAATTTGAGAAACAAGACAGAGGATCATAGGGGAAGGGAGGGAAAAATAAAGATGAAACCAGAGAGGGGCGCCTGGGTGGCTCAGTGGGTTAAGCGTCTGACTTT